CTACTTAAAACCCTCCAATGGCTTCCCATTACACTAAGAATCCCAACTCCTCACCCAGACCTGCAAGGTCCCTACATGAGTTGGCCTCCTCCCTGACTTCATCTTTCCCTTCTCCTTTACTCGTTTCCTTGCTTAAACACATCAGCTCCTCCCCACCTCACTGCCTTTGCCTATCCAGAGACTCTCCCCACAGATCTTCCCAAGTTTGGTGCCTTCTTGTCATTTAGGTCTCAGTCACTCATGTCACCACCCCATTCAATACCGCTACCCCTATTTCCACCCCAGTCGACCCTTGCAAAGAGAGTGAAGTCCCATTAGGGAACAGATGACACACATAGAAGTTATCCATCCCATTCTCTTTTCAGTACCCTACCTCATTTTCTTCAGGGCACTAATCATTGTCTGACACCATTTATGCATTTACTTAGTATCTGTCTCCTACACTACAGCCTGGGACATGCTAGGAGCTCAAATTATTTGTTGAAATCTTTTTTATTATTATTAATTTCAGGTGTACAAAACAATGCAATAGTTATGCTTTTCATCCCTCACAAAGTGACAACCCCTCCCCCAACTCACCACCCCCCTATTCCCCAATATCATACATATCTATCACAATTCCATTGACTCCATTCCCACACTGTACTCCACATCCAGTGACTCTATATATTAAATTATAGTTGACATATAATATTATTCAATGGCAGCTTCACATGTACAGTGCAGTGGTCAGGCCTCTACACCATCCATGAAGTATTGAAATCTTATTTTGAAATCTGTAAGTTACAATCTGTCTAAGGACACATGCCCTATTTGTATTGGGTTGTGGGAAAAGTCATGACGTATGTTTTCTGTTTTTCATTTCAAAAATGCATCATGACTTTTCCGACAACCCAACAGATACATAGGATAGTAAAAATAAAGATTATCTCTCATACATGGCATTTTTGTGATTTGTAGCATAAATGGGCTTTAAATGGAAAAATACAGCACACATATCTTATTCTAAATTGGGTGGAGTATTCGGAGAGACTGAAAAAAACAGTAAGAACAGAGGTAAGACATCAGAGCAAAGAGGGCAATTTTGGACAGCAGCACATCTCCATCCGACCAATACTAACCTTTTGCTTGTTATATGTGATATATTATAAAATTGACTGCCATTCTGTTGTTCCTCATTTATCTGTATTTAAAATTTTATGTAAATAAAGATACAGATGATCTAAAGAACACGACATGTTCCACCATCATGACCTATGATATTTACAGAACACTAAACCTAACAACTATAGAATATACACTATTTTCAACTGCACATGTTCACCAAAGATAGAGCATATCCTGGGACACAAAACAAGTCGATAAATTTAGAAGAACTGAACTCATTCATGTTCTCTAACCACAACAGAATTAAATTAAGACCCAATTACAATAAGATATCTAAGAAAACCCCAAATATTTGAAAATTAAAACCACACTTCAAAATAAACCATCAATCAAAAAGAAATCCACAAGGGAAATTTTAAAAAGTATTTTGTACTAAATGATAATGAAAATACAACATATCAAATTCCTGCAACTGAAGTAAAATAATGCTTGGAAGGAAATTTATAACTTTAGATGCTTAAATTAGAAAAAAAAAATGTCTAAAATAGTGATGTAAGGCTCTACTTTAAGAAGCCAGAAAAAGAAGAGTATACTTACCCAAAGTAGAACATATAAAATAATAAAATATGAAATCAACAAAATTGAAAATAGACACACAACAAAGAAAATTAAGCCAAAAGCTGTTTCTTTGAAAAGATCAACAAACCCTAGTTACAATGATGAAGAAAAAAGGACAACACAAAT